AAATTGACAGAACGAAAATAGAAATATCAAGACATTTGATCCTGCGATTTAATATCGCCAGCAAAGCAAAGAAATGGCAGCCATTGAGATTGCGATGGATGGACAATAAAATCGAATGATATATATCGTCTTTCTATTAGCAGAATAAGCTTTACTTACAAATAAAGTTAAAAAACCACGACAAGACAACTTATAAAGACAAAAATTGTTGTTTAAACAGTTAAAGTAATTAATGAGTCCTGTAATTAAATCTAGCACGCACAATCATCAAATTAGTGTGAAACTCTTCAAACTAACCAGCGAAAAACTAGTTCAAAAAGTCGAAAAACACATCAAACGCTGTAAATCCTTTGGCATCCTCGCATTTTCGCATCTAAGCCTCACTGCCATGTTTTTTTTTTCGTTTTGTTATTTCAAACACGCTAACTCGATGTGTATCCAGCGCGTTATTAAATTAACTGCAAAAATGTGAAGTCTTGTGTTATCCGCGCAGGCGGGCGGCCGCCCCGAGAATGAGCAATGAGCGGCGCAGGAATAAAAAACACAAACAAGGTTCGCGAAGCAGGCTTGGCGCGAGGTCGCCGGCGCGCAGGAATGGCCGGGAAAAGCCCGGCAATTACTCTGGATAACGACGCGACCTGCATCGCAAGCGTCGCGTCTCTATAGATCAAAGCGTCTGCAGTGCACACATATACACATGTTTTCACATGGATAGGACTAACACGCGCGCGCAGGCCGCTGCAGGACGCCGCAGGAGAGTGCAACGAACCAAACTTTCGCGTAACCAGGCCAGGCTCGAAATTTCCTTCGTCTGCATTTTTAATTATTTCGTGTGGAAATTAGTGTAAAGGTATATTTTCATTACCGGGAATTATAACCTATAAAAACTTAAATTGTAATTTGTTTATATCAGAATTATTTAATATTATTTTAGTTTGCAAAGCATTAGAAAAATAATGGTTTTGTATTAATGCAGTAATGCACTTTAGTGCCATTACTGATTGAATTATTTAACTATAACAATAAATAAATTTTAATACAAACTTTAAACCTTTATTTAACATGTTTTAAGGCACAATGTTTAATATTTTAATAGTTTATGTCCTTCGTGAGAGAAAGACTAATCCAATAAATCATATATCATCAAAATCTGTTCAGCCGATTTTGAGTTATAAGTGTTGTAACTAACCGGATGATTTAAAAAGTGTCTGAGAGCTGATTTTTTCAGGCACAAATAATTTTTTTTACAAATTTTTTTAAACTCATGAAAATATTAAAGTAAAATTGATAGTGAATTTACTACTGATAATTTGAAAACTTTCTAAAAGGTTTTTTCTAATAAAAGCAAACTTTTGCCGTGTTTCTATTTTTCGGTCCTGATAGAACTTAATATTTTCTCACCTCGTGAAAATCGATACGTTTGCAAGTGAGTAGCATTTCTCGTTTGGCATCGAGTCGTGAGTTACGTAACCCGATGCGAGTGCGCCCGTCCGTCGCACGAAAATGTGAAAACGTGTGAAAACGAAAGGATAATATGAAAAATGCTAACTGAAGCGCGCTCGAGGCGGCGCGGAAAAATTGAAAATGTCAAAAAATGTTAACACGATTTATGCAGTCTGCGTTGACATTTAGAATATGAAAATTATTTCCATTTTCTGCGATTTACGCGAAGGCAAACGTTCAAAACACAACACATTAACTTTTCACTCAATGTTTTTTTCCTTCCAGACATTCCTAAATTGAACAATTTTTGTTTAGAAATAAAATTTCCGCAGAATACAAAATAAATTTATAGTTACTTATATTTGGTGTTCTTTTAAAAAGCTCAAAACCTGGCTTAAGGTAGAAGTTAAGTTTGGTTACTCAATGTTCATCCTGTGGAGGGTCCTGCGCGGCGTCGGAAACCTAATCACTGTAAATCTCAAAGTTTTACAAAGTTTTCTGCTTGGCGCGCAACTTTTCGCTCCCTTTTTGGGGCATGCTTCGACGCGTACTTCCGCCAACAGCAAGAACAACAAGATAACATAAGAAACAACATGAATACAATAGCTAAACACTTTTCAAAACTTTATAAAATGTATTAATTAAATTTACTTCAGATTTTTCTCAAACATACATGCAAATATGTATAACTGGTTGCCTAACATACAAATAATTTTATTATGCAACACAAAGTACAAAAAATTTAATTTAAAATTATTTTTAACAAAAAATCAAATTTTGAGACAAGATTCAAAGAAAAAGTCCTTTTTTCAAGTGATTTACGCTGATGGATAAAACGAAATTAGTTGTACGCGTTGTGCACCCAACTCCGATTATTTACGGAAGTGCGAGTGCATTTTAACGCCCGCTATCCGGTTTGCGTATTCGTCCTGAGATGGGCGAAGCGCTATCCGGACGAGCTTTATCTCAATTACTTTTAAATCAAACTCGAATTTATTACCGGCGCGCTCGGGACGAACGAGCTCGCTCGACGTCCTAATGTTCGGACATATTTCACGTCCACCACCTCATCGCATCCTTCGTCCTGCAAGAGCTTCATTTGTCTACTTCTAATCTAACATAAAATAATTCTCATATTATTCACCGCGTGAATAATAATCTGCATAAATCACAAAATTATTTACTATCAACTCAAAAATCACTTTGAGCTTGCTTGACATACAATTAATTAAATTTCCGCAATTGTGCTCGGTTTCGTTTAAGGCTAATTTCCCAATTATGCGCACGTTATGCAGAAAATTTTCAATTTTTGACTCGGGCAGAGACATGACGTGACATTAATTCGGTTCAATTTTCGATCACGTCATCGCGTATGCGCGGTAAAGCAAGGATAATGAAAATTTCATCCGGCTTCTATGTCGCGAATGTTTTTCCACTGGAAGGACATGCGATGCAATGTTTTATTTACGTGCGCGGTGCGATTTTCGTAAGCGTATGCACGGCGCCGTCGAAAGCGGCAGCGTACGGTGGAAATACCAGGAAAATAAGTAATGGAAAAGCCTCCCGCCGCTAGCCGTTATATAGCTTGCAGGCGAAAAGGATTACTTGACAAGGAACAAAGGACTTGCTAGTTGTGTTACAAATACGCCACGGTCATGCGAACTGCAGTTAGTTATTTATGTTGAATGTAAGACTCAAGGGAGAATTAGAAAATGACTGCAAATATTCACATAAAATCTATATGTTTAAAAATGAATTGCTGTTCGTTAGTCTCGCTAAAACTCGAGAATGGCTGAACGGATTTATCTTATCTTGGTTTTGAATTATTCCAGTCCAGGGAAGGTTTAAAAGGTGAGAAAAATTCGAATAATTGCCGGGAAAATCCTCAAAACAGCTCTTTTCTATAGAATAAAATTTGACATTGAGATTCAATCATAGTTATAGTTAAATACTTGAATTCGAGATGGCGCGCTGAAGTGCATTATTGACAAAACTTTATATGCATAATTTCTTTAAATTAAAATTGCTAATCTTATTGATAGAATTGACTCTTACTACGAGTATGTCTAGAACAAGAGAGTAAAAACGAATTAGATTTTTATTAAACACTGCCGGAACGAAGTCGCGGGCAACAGCTAGTTTTTAATAAAAACAAAAAAATATTTTTTAATTTTTTTTCTCTGGACACATTGTATATCAACTTTTTTTATATTTCTTTAATCTATTTTATGTAGAATAGTCTCATTTACAGCGTCGATGTGGTGAGAACCCATTTGGCAAACACTTTGTGCTATAAGGGTAGTGTGCGGCGTGTACAACCCACTTTCGAGCAAGCCCTAACCTCCTAACGCTAATTATCCCTTATGTAACGACTAATATTGTTATTAGAAATCGTGAAATTTGCCGACACACCCTAGGACACTCACCCCCCGGCCACCCCCGTTTGTGATAACAAGTTACTTTGGGACAATCTCCACACGCACCCCTTTTGCTCCACATTCGACTAACGACTATAACCTAACTCGTCTTTATAGTCTGACGAAACAAGCCGCCATTGTCTGAACGCATTGCATGCGAAGCGCTAGAAAGTGAAATTGAGGGGTTATCCTAGAAATCAATTCGATTGTCACCACTTCTGAATAGAAATGGAATTCAATTTAATTGAATTCAACTTTAATGAATGGAAGTGTTTGCCAAGTTTAGAGTTTGCTAAGGAGAAAATACTTGAATATAAATTTGATACAATAAATGAGGTTAGGTTTTAGTGAAATTTTTTTTATTTTTTTTACGGACACGGACATACTGTATATGTGAGGTTAGGTAGCATCTTGCTAGTAGTTATGAGACAACCACAAACGTGAAATTTCAAAATTTGACCATTCAGGGTGGACAAGAAGCTGCAAACAACGGTCGCCAAACTAGGGCGGCCTGTAGGGGTGAAAAGGTCGCAAAGGTCTTGAAGGTCCTGTAAACTCGCCGGCGAGGACGAAATGCTCACGGGACATCCGAAAAGTTGCTGTTGGAATTTCTCCCACGTCGTATATCATAATTTGCGCACAACACATTTTTAAATTTTAAACATTTGTGTATAAAGTTTAGTATTTGACAGAATTATATTTTCCGAAAATTATTCACTAGTGATTTATGCAAATTAATTTAATATATTTTAAATGTGTAATGTTGGATGCATTATTCAACAGCAAGCGCACCGACAACATAAATCACAATTATATCACATTCTCAATGCGATATAAATAATAATGCAATAAAATAACAATGCGCATTGTACGATGTGCGATTGTTCAATTGTTCGCAAATGGCGGCCCAGCCCCTGATTCTACCAATTGCAAAACGTCAATTGTTTACCACTTCATCTGCTGTACAATATTTTCAAATTTTATGATGCGGAACAAATAAAAACCGGAAGTTGTATAGTATCATTAACATACATAAATTATTTTAATTATAAAATGTGTACACAATAACATAATAACAATGATATAATTAGTATTGAATATTATGGAGTGAAACTAAAAAACTTGTTTTCTGTGTTGCAGTTTCGACGTGCGTGGTAAACCGTTGTCACAGGCACGCCATTGGTCCGCACCGGAAGTATTCGGTTCGAGAGCATACTTCCGGACGGTGTCCGAACCAGCGCAGCTCGTCATCGATGACATCCGCCGGCACGATGAAGGGGTTTATCGATGCAGAGTTGATTTTCGCAATGCGCAGACGCGCAGCTTTCGCTACAATTTGACAGTGATAGGTATGCAACCAAATTTACATATTATATTAAATTATACTAAAAACCGTAATGAAACAAAATACTAAGTAAAATTTTACTTGGGAGATTAGTATGTTTAAATCGTTTAAAAAACAAGTTAATCCGACGGTGTGCAGCTTTAAGTCGCTAGCCGCCCCCAGGACTAAACAAGCGCGCATTAGTCATCTTCTTGTCTGTAGCATTATAAATTGTCGGGCATTAAGCGAGCTAAGCCGGGCGCTAATCAATTACGTGTAATTAAGTATACGCTATCCTTCTTAGCCGCCTCCGACCGGACTTTCAACCAAACGTTGCTCACTTGGTAGTTTATACTTGCACGTCGAGTAGGTTGAAAACTCCGGTCGTCACGCAGATGGCGTCGCCGCCGGTGCCGAGGCTCGCGGGGGCAGCAGATGGTCCGCCGCCCGCCGGCTAAGCTGCGAGTAATTAAACATATCTGTCAAGTATTAATATGTACGGCGGCGTTCTGCAATAGATGAGTTATTCGACAAGTGCAAGACGAGTCAAACTCACGCCGCCACCCGGGGGCGGCAAATTTGATGTTCTTTGCGTAATTTAAATTGGTTTAGTTTTCCATGATAAATCGACGTTTTTAATTACAATCACTTAGACTGATGGTTTTGTGGTTGTTACGCGTGGGGGCGGCAAAGGGTAAGAAAAGGGGTTGTTGTGTTTTCATTATGACGGATAACTTATAAATCTTTCAGGGCGAAACAAACGCCTAATCCGCGCTTGCAAGATTGCAACTCGATTCGGGAGCGTGGCGGTGGTTATAGAAGGACGTCGACGTCGGAGGCGGCTGAACGGATTAACTGCATTAATAATTCATGCTCAAGTCGATTTAAACTCGAAACGGATGCGACGCGACCACCGAACGATACAAGCGCGTCATCCTGCAATCCGCCGCCTCCGAACGCCGCCGCCGCCGACTTCGTTTCGCATTCGTTTCCTGCCCCACGCGCTATTTTCCGATGTTTGGAGAACGAACGACCGGACGTACGGGGAATATTTACACGCTAATCTTAGTCTAATTTATAGGCATGCAGAAAAATACATACAGTGTGTCCAGTTGGGAAAACTTACAAACTATCAACATTCCACCGGAAAATGTAATAAGGTGTCGACGTGTGCGTTGATGCATTCCTTGCACAGAATAGATTCGCGTCTAATGCGGCGTGTAAAGTTACGAAAGCCTGGGAAATTCAGCTTATGTCACCGCCGTCGAAGATCCGCCGTTGTTGGAGGCGGCAGCGGCATCGGTGAGAATATGAAAGTCGTTAGAACTTAATCGACGATGCAGCCTGAGCTTCCAGCGCCGAACTCGATCAGGAACATTGATTTCGATAACGCGAGGATTTGCTGCCGCCGCCGCCTCTTTCCCGCAAAGAAGCTTACGGCGTTCCGCGTCGGATGCGCGCCCGCACTTAGCGCACAATTATCGTCAACAATGACAAATAATATCTTTGTCGCGAGTCAACTATCGGCACGAAGTCGTTAGGCAAGTCGTTACGCAAGTTTCCCATCGTTGTTCGGCGAGAGTTTTCCCGATCGGAAAAGCTGTCTGCACGACAAACTTTCCATGCGTCATTGTGCATCACTAATACATAAAAATTTAAATAGTTTTTCTTTAAAATTTTTGATTTTTAACATCAAGACTTCAACTTTATATGTTGGACAATGCTTTGAGTTACGGTATAAGTACCGAACATGAGTGTTATAGACGTGATAAAAAATTTTTTTAAACGAAAATATATTTTAATATTTAATTTACGTATTATAAAACAAAAATTAGCCTTTTTTCCGGTTTTCCGTTTTGTCATTCTTTATCCCACGATAGAGAACCCTTTGAATTGCCGCCGTTCGGGTTCTTCTTCACAAATGGAGCGAACTTATCTCCAGCAAGAAAATTGGATTCGATGCGGATTATGCCCCGCGGCACGTGCGGGTGTACACGGGGGCGGCGGCGGCATGAATCCGTGAATCTTCAGCATCGACTTATGGCTTCACTGGGCGGCATATGCCGATACAAGCTGATCGACGGCGGCAGGGTACCTACTACACAGTAATGAACTTGATATTGATTTCGCGTAATCCGCCGCCGCCGCCGCCGCAAACAAAAAATACATAATACCGTATTACTGTATTAGATATTATTACTACTCGTATAATTTATTATTGATGCGGAATAACGCACCGCGACTTTGGGGGCGGCAAAGGCATTGAAAAGATATCGACTTCTTAATGCAATGGCTGAGGAGCAAAGGAGAGCAATCGACATGTCGACTTATTAGAAGAAAGCAATATCTGAGTGGAAGCTGCCGCCACAGTTACGAATTACATTACAAGGAGGCGGCGGAAGATTGTTATCCGTGAAATGAAATTTATTACATATTACTTTTGATCGTGTCTCAATGTAAAGCAAATATTAAAATTTTGCCTTTGAATAATCATAAATAAAATATTTTATGCAAATAAAAAACCACAAATTATTTTTACGGATTTTCCACTTTTCCGGTAAACGCTTCGAGCGTAGCATGGAAATAATTAAATTACAGCCAATTAAATTGACCCGCATGTATAGTGCAAATCGATTTAATTAAAATTTAATACGAAGCCAAAGGTGCACCGGTAATAACCCTCAAAGCTGTGCTTTTCCGGATTATCCTTCAATCAAAATTACATTTTTCACTATACAAGTAAATACTCTATTTAATTTTTTCCCCAAAGGCGCAGAATATTAATGATTTCCCAAAAGCGATTGAACTTTTTTTCTGAAAATTTTAATTTCCTACCGAAATATTCAAATCCTAGAACAGCTATTTTCCGTATACAATAGCCCGGAAAGTATATTTATTAATTTATTAATCAATTAGACCATCATTAATTTTCCTCTTTTGAAAGTAAGATCCGAAGTATTTGTATTAAAAGTAGGCGAAAAACGACGTAAAGGACTCAATGTATGAGTATGATTAATGACTGCCGCCCCACGGTTATACTTTTAAGGATATTGTAAGGATTGTGCGGCAGGACTCATTAAGCGCCCGGTTTACTCATTATATATTTTTATTTTTCTTTTAAAAGTTTAGATTTTAGATTCGGTGATCGTTAAATTTTCGGGAAGGGTTGTTTTAGTGTCCTGCCGCCTCCGAGTGTGCGGAACGTCCTTGATGGGTTAATCTTCCGGCGCGTAATAAAATTTGGTTTATTATTATCACCGGATATATGTGTATCGTGTTTCGGGGGCGGCAAACCGCACACGCGGGCTTGGTGCGCACACGTTGCCACCGCCGTAACTCGAGGGTAGTTTATGTAATCCTGTGGTGGGCTTAATCCTATTCGGGTTTGAATTATTTTCCGAAAAAAAATCATTAAACACACTGTATAGTAATTAAATTTATTTTAGAATAATTGTCAGGAACTTTGTACAACTTGTTACAACTTGCAACAATTGAAGCGATTTAAGAAAATGTCTATCTACGTCGGCTTCTTTATTCCGGGGAGCGGCAATGAAACTTTCATCAGTTGGCACGACAGTAAAAACTCACTTAATAGACGATTATTTTTATTGGGTGCGAGTATCTGCTCAGTGCTATGCTTTCATTCTATGCTGATCCTTCTGGATCTACAAACGATTAAACTAAATATTTCTTTTTTTAAGTTTAAATGTTCAAAAAGTCTTACATTGTATTCCTTAGAATTTTTAAATGTTTATGTAAGATTTACAGATTAAATTGAGTAATTGTTAATTATATGTGTTAAAAGAATCGATTTTACGTGAAAGCAAAAGCTGATCTATAACATAAAAATGAACCGCAAAATCTGTTTGTAAGCGCATCACTCAACAACGCCTAGACCAATTTGGCCAACTTTTTTTTTTTAAATGTTTGTTAAAGTCCAAGGATGGCGTCCTAGGATGGCGAAATTTGAATAATTGCCGGAAAAACCCTTAAGACAGTCCTTTTCTATAGGATAAAAGTTGGCATTGATATTCAATCACAATTATAGTTAAATAGTTGAATCCGAGATGGCGCGCTGACGTGCATTATTCGCAATTCTTTATATAATTAATTTGTTTAAAATTAAAATTGCGAATTTTATTTATTTAATTGACACATACTATGTCCAGAACAAAAGAATAAAAACAAATTACATTTTTATTAAACACTATCGGGGCAAAGTCGCGGGCAAAAGAAAGTAAATAATAATTTGTTGGACTTCTCCAAATCAAATTATTCACTCTAAAATTGACACTATTCCTGCAATAAAATATAAAATTATTTTTTAATCAAACCAATAAATTATACTTTCAAATAATAATTTTCCAATTTAATTAATACATAAAATTAACAACCGCGGTTTCATCCGCATCAAAACTATCCGTGCACGTTGATTAATTACGTTTTTATTAATTAAATAATATGAAAAGCTCACCGCGCTGCGCAGATAATACTTCATCGTTGTATTGTGTGTTGCGGTAATTCTAATATACCATGTGTTTCGCTGGCATTGAATTGAAATTCAATAAATTTCCTTTTTGCTTCACAAGCAGCGTTAAAACCAGAGACGATTTATTAATTTATTAATAAACTTTTGTTTCCCACGTGTGCACTAGTAGGATTTTCCAAGTGGCGGCAAGGATTAATCCGCACGCCCTTTTGGGACACAAAAGGTGTGCGCGTGTTTAATTGTGTGATGTATCGACAGCGCGCGCCGGCCCGCAAAACCTGAATGAAAATGCGATGTAAAGTCGATCCTTAAACAATCGGCTTTTCACACGCGCGCGCGCTCACGATAAGTGCCAAAACTCAAAACCAGGTCGGTGGAGATTTTGTCTAGGCGCGGCTTTTGTTCGTTGAGCTAACAAAGCACGAAGTGATATGATATAGCACCCCAATTTCCTATTTCTATTGATATGAAAATGTGCTTTATTGAGGTAAATTTTACTTTTGTTTGACTTTGGGTTTTACGCTTGGGATTTAATT